GAAAGGAGCATGTAGGGTAAGGGATTGTGGCTTGTCCAGCCCCAGGGGATATACCCCAAGGTGGGGGAACATTCGCATTTTCATCTTCTCATTCTCTGTCTCCTCTTTCTCTGGCAAGTGAAGAACCCCTATTGCACAAGTTACTAAAAACACTGATCAAAACTAAAACCTAGAAAAAAAAAATCACCCACCAAGGTCGCTATGGATACTCAGCAAACATTGCTTGAGTATAAAAATTACCAAGACTGGAAGGAGAGAGGATGTCACAATGGTTGTAAGATCTGTCTGTATGCTAATGCATGACAGTGATCCACAGGATACCTCTGCTTTGTTCACACTAGCCTGTATTGATTTCAACACCATGGGTTTTTCAGTTAGTGACAAGGTGAGAGCAGTTGGTCTGAGGCTAGGAATAGTGAGAAGTTACATCATGCAATTGACGTCTGTGCTTAAAATCTGATCATAGGGTCTGACCAAAACCTAGATAGGTCTATAGGGTCTGTCCTAGTATAAACAGCTCTCTTGAACCAAGTGGTGAGTACAAATGATATGAAGGCTACCTGCAAAAAACAGCAAGAGCTTTTTTGACCAAGAGTCTTTTTCTTTAGACTATTCACTTGCCCCATCCACAGTGGAGCAAGTATCACACATATCAGACAAACACAGGTGTTTGTTGGAAGGCAGGTCAGAGTCAAACAATTCAAATTTATCAGAAATAATCCAATACTGTTCTCCCAGTGTATTCATCTGGAAATGACTCCCTTTCTCCTTCTCAGACAGCCACTCCATCCTGAACACAGAAGCATAAAGAGAACAGATCATTGGACAAAGAAGAACTGGACACTACTGATTTGCAGTGAGTCCTGTTGGTTATGTAAGTGAGAGGTCAAAGATGGCAGAAGGGCTGTTTTGTCAAAGAAGGGGGATCAAACCATCCATATCTTACTATGACAGAAGGTGGCTGCCTTGGGTTGAGTAGAGGGAATGGAGAGGAATGTGACAAGCTGCAAGTCCTCAGAAAAAGGGCCAGATAACACACATATGAGGAAAGAGACACCAGTCTCCCCATATGGGACAGTCACAAGAGGCAACACACACCAAA